TCGTCGTCGTCGTCGTCGTCGTCGTCGCCGTCGTCGTCGTCGTCGCCGCCGCCGTCGTCGTCGTCGTCGGGCGCCCCCGGACCTCTCGGCCCCTTCCCTCATGCCGCTCTTCCCCTCGTCTCCGCGGCCCCGGGGCCGGAAAACGCGGGCCTCCGGGGGCCCGGAGAGGGCGGGGTTCGGCCGCCTGGAGCTGCTTTGCCGCCTGGAGGAGGAGGGAGGAGGAAGAGGAGGAGGAGGAGGAGGAGGAGGAGGAGGGGAGGAGGAGGAGGAAGGAGGAGGGAGCCTAGGAGGAGGTCCCGACTCCTCCCCCCCCGCCGCCCTGCCTGCACCCCCGAGGGGGTGTCCGGCACCGGGGGGGGGGGGTGCCGGCACGGGGGGGGGTGGACCCGGCAACGGGAGGGGGGGTGCCGGCACCGGGGGGGGGGGGGCCGGCACCGGGGGGGGGAGTGCGTGGTGTGTACTTCGCGGCCGGCACCGGGAGAGGGGTGCCGGCACACGGGGGGGGGGGGGGGGCCGGTGGGCCACCGGGGGTGGGGTGCAGGCACCGGGGGGGGGGGGTCTTCTGGGCTCCTCCGGGGGCTCTCTTGGGCTGGTGGGGGGGCTGGCGGCCGACTGCTGGTGGGGTGGTCCGTCACGGACCCGGGCACCCCGGAGGCGGCCCCCTGCCCTCGCGCGGGGGGGCCGCCAAAGGGGCCCGCCCACCCGCGGTCTGCCCAGCTCGCCTCCCCTCCCCCCCTTCTGGGCGTTCAAGGCTGAAGGCGGGCGCCCCCGGGCGTTCAAGGTTGAAGTCTGGCCCCCGCCTCCTCTTGTTATTTGGTGTGGGATCGTCCAGAACCCGAGCATTAAGTTCCCTGACTACCATCTCCCCCGCGCCCTGCCGTCATCCTCATCATCAGTGGCATCGTCATCATCATCCGTGGCCGGTTTGGCGCAGGACTGCCTGGCTCGGGGCACAGTCAGGAGAAGGTCGGTCGGCATGGCGAGAGCGATGTTCAGAGCTGAGGCGGCTGCAGAGGCAGCCCAAGAAGCCGAGGCTCGCGAGGCAGAGGCGGATTGGGCTGGCCTTGCTGCAGAGGAGGCAGCCGAGGCCGACCTCTCCAAGCCCAAGGGCAATCGCGAGGGGCAGTGGCTTGCGAAAACCAACCGATGGCAGGCCGAGATGGAGGAGGAGTTCAAGCCTCCGGCGTCGGCGGAGGAGGAGGACGAGGAGGCTGAGCGCTACGAGGGGGACCCGGAACAGGAGGAGGAGGAGGAGGAAGCCGAGGAGGAGGAGGAGGAGGAGGAGGAGGAGGCTGAGGAGGAGGAGGACGAGGACGCGCAGGAAAGGGGCGAGGACCAGGACAAGACGCAGCCGGAGGACGCCCTGCAGGAGCCTCCCCGGCCGCTCGGGCGCGGCTGCCGGGAGAGGCGCGAGCCGGACTGGTTCAGGCCTACGCGGCCGGGGCTGGTCGCCGCCGTCGTTCGCAACGAGGCCGCAGCGCGTGCTGGGGGCCGCCAGCGGCTCGGGCGCGGCCCGGCAGCCGGGGGCCCCCATTGGCCCGGCTCGGCCGCCCCCGTCGGCCCATGGGGGACACCCAGGAAGGTCGTGTACGGCTGGGACGGCAGGACCGTGATCGCTGCTCCGGGCGTGCCGTCCGCGGCGCCAGGGGTGCCGGCGCCCCGGAGGAGGCCGACGGCGGCGCCAGCGACCGCGCCGCAGGAGTCGGGTCGGGCGAGAGGGGGGGATTGGGAAAGGGGGGGTTGCAAAATTTGCTGCGTGCAGCTGGTTTCGGCCTCACCGAGGGGCCCATTCCTCGATGCATGGGCGCCTCCGGCGCCGGGAGGCGCCGGGAAAATCAGCTACGTGAGCTGAGTCTCAAACCCCTCCTTTGCTATCCCCCCCTCGCGCCCGACCCGAAGGTCGGGGGGCGAAGGTCTATACGCATCCACTGCTCCCTGGCCAGGCCCATCCTGAACCCAGGAGCTGTGTGTACGCCCTCCTGGCCAAACCAGGAGGGCGTGGCGTATACACAGCTGCTGTGTTCAGGATGGGCCTGGCCAGGGAGCAGTGGATATGTATAGATTGCGTCGCCCTACGAGGAGGCGGCAGCGCCGGCCCCGCCGGCGACCGCCGCGGCGCCGGCGACCGCCGCGGCGCCAGGCTGCTATGCGGCCGAGCCGCCACGCGGTGCGGACGCCTTCGCGCAGGCGGCGGCGGCGGCGGCGGCGGCGGCGGCTCGGCCGACCGCCCGCCGCGGGTGCGCCACGGCGGAGCCGCCGGCGCGGCCGTTGGCAGCTACCCGGAGCTCCTCTGAGTTCCACCGCCGCTGGCCGGCCGCAGCCGCCGCGGCCGCTGGCAGCCGCCTCGCCGCCCCCGCGGCCCCCGCGAGCGCTGCGCGGCCGGCCCCGAGCGGCCCCGCCGCCGCGCCGGGCAGCCCCGGGTCGCCACGCGAGGCTGCGCCGGGCATGCCCTCGGCAGCGGGCGCCGCGGCCGCCGACCGCCCGCAGGCTCTGGCCGCCGCCGCCCCGGCGGAGCGCAGCTGGCGGGACACCCGCCAGCTGCGGTGTCTCCAGGTGCTGGCGGCAGACCCGCGAGCGGCGGCGGCGCGTCCGGCCGCTGGACGCGGCCGTTCGCCCACCGGCGCCTCCCCGCAGACTCCGCGGGCGGGCCCGCGCGCCGCCCCCGACGCCGCGCAGGAGACACCGGACGAGAAGCGCAGCCGGACGAACGCGCGCCGCCAGCTCTACTTCAGGGAGGCGTGCGACGAGCTCCGCCTGTCGGACGTCGAACGGGCGAAGTCGAAAAAGCAGAGCGAGGCGGTGGCGGAAGCGTGGGCCGAGGTCGACAGGCGTTTGGCCGCCGAGGACCCGTGGCGCCGGAGCAGCCGGCCCGCCAAGAAGAGGCCGAGGGAGCCCGAGCCCGAGGGGGCCCAGCGGCGCCATGCCCCCTGTCCTCCCTGACTAATTACGTGTAGGTGAGCGCCCCCTCCCTATGTCTATGCATCCCCCCCTCCCTCTTTTCTGTCTGATCGCCCCCTCATTATGAATTCCCTCCAGGTCTATCTTCCCCCTTCCCTGTCAGGGCCGGCGCTTTTAGGTTGAATCGCACGCCGCTTGGCCCCGCACTTCCAGCAGATCCAAGCAGTGCCGTGGACTGCAAATCCTTTCACCGAGGGGGAGAGGAGGAGCAGGGAGGAGCAGGGAGGGGCTGTCTGCGGCCTCGCGGCGAGGCCACGGCAGCGGGCGCGGGAGTTCGTGAGTCGAGCTGGGCGCCCCTCGAGGAGGGAGGAGGAGGGAGGAGGAGGAGGAGGAGGAGGAGGAGGAGGAGGAGGAGGAGGAGGAGGAGGAGGAGGAGGAGGAGGAGGAGGAGGAGGGAGGGGGAAGGAGGAGGAGGAGGAGGAGGAGGAGGAGGAGGAGGAGGAGGAGGAGGAGGAGGAGGAGGGAGGGAGGAGGGAGGGAAGAGGGGGTCCTCGCCTCCCAGACAACACACGCCACACAACACCACGCACGCACCACACACATACCACACACATACACCACACGACACACATCAGACAACACACGCGCACACCCACACCCACACCCGCACCCACACACACACCACATCACACACACACACCACATCACACACACGCCCGTGGCACCATAGGGGGTGCGCAGGGGGTGGGGGCGCTATGCGCGCTTCTCGTCCAGGCACAGCAGGCGTGGCACTTTCTCGACACCACAGGGGGTGCGCAGGGGGTGGGGGCGCTATCCGGTCTCTATCCGCTGCAGACTAGCAGGGCACGGCAGGCGTGGCACTGTCTGGACGTCTGAGTGGGTGCGCAGGGGGTGCGTCCGCAATCCGCGTCGGGCTGCCCCCCCCCGCGCCCTGCTGCACCCCCGAGGGGGGTGCCGGCACCGGGGGGGGGGGGGGGGGGGGTGCCGGGGGGGGGGGGTGGCACCGGGGGGGGGGTGCCGCAACGGGGGGGGGGGCCGGCACCGGGGGGGGGGTGGGGGGGGGGCCGGCACCGGGGGGGGGGCGTGCCGCACGGGGGGGGGGTGCCTGACCGGGGGGGGGGGCCGGCACCGGGGGGGGGGGTGCCGGCACCGGGGGGCTTTCTTGGGCCGGTGGGGAGTCCCGGGGCCCGGTTCGGTTCCACCCGGTTCGGGCTTGCCGTTCGGGCCGGTTTCGACTGGCCGGTTCGGTTCGAACCGCCCGGTCCGGTTTCAGCCGGGCCGGTTCGGGCTCCGGTTCGGGCGGTTCGGTTGCAGGAGCCGCCGGTTCACGGTTACCGGTTCGGTTCGGACTCTTCTTGAATATGTTTCTTCATGTCGCGTTGTTTGTTGTGAAAGAATAGCTTCAAGCAGTGGCGAAGCGTCCTGGCTCGCCTGTAGCCCCACCAAACAATGTTCTAAGAACCTGTGGTGGTTTCCACGAGATGCTGTTAGAACATCTCTGGCTGGGACTGTCTTGTTCTAACACATCGGGCTTATGTTATATGAACATTGTTATTGTTCTTAGAGCATTTTTGGGTTCTAAGAACATTTCGTGGTAGGACTGCAGGAATGCTGGGACGGTCGGTCCCTGTTCAACCCCCCTCGCTTCTCGAACGTGAATGAGAGGGGCGGGTATGTTTCTCCATGCCGCGTTGTTTGTTTGAAAAATACCTTCAGCATTCAGGAAAAACAGCTTGTTTGTCGTTTTCCCCCAGTGTGTAGTTCAATTTACATACATTTATATTTATGTATATATATATATAGATATAGAGAGAGAGTGAGAGAGAGAGAGAGAGAGACCCCCCTCATGAACGCGATTCTGGAGCCCCGAGCCAACGGATATGCCGTGCCATGACGGCACATCGGCTGCAGCGCGTATGGTGTGGAGCAGATTGCGCCTTCCTGGCGGCTCGCTTGCTGAGCTCGCACAGGAGGGGGGAGGGCGGACGGGGAAGAGGGCTGGGGAAGCGGGGGAAACGGGGGGGGGGGGGCAGCCAAACACGTCGCGCGCTTTCCCACCCCGAGCAAGCGGGAGTCGGCGGATCTTGACGCACATGGCCGTCCCGCCCCCTGCGATACGCCCGTCGATCGCCATGGGCGCCGCCCGCAGCGAGGACGACATCACGGCGAAGTTTGTCGAGATCATCAAGGTCAACAACATGGTGAAGACGCAGGTCGAGGCAGGGGCTGGCGAGCACATTGTGATGGAGTTCTCGAAGCTGCTCCAGTGGCACATCTTCACGCTGAGCGACAACAACATCATCGGAGTCCCCCAGGCCCAGACCAAGTCGAAGCGGCCGCTGAAGTCGATCCGCGAGAGGCTGAAGTCCAAGGAGGGCCGCCTGAGAGGCACGCTGATGGGGAAGCGGGTCGACTACTGCGCGCGCAGCGTCATCGGCGGGGACCCGAACCTGAACACCGAGCAGGTCGGCGTCCCGAGGTCGATCGCGCTCAACCTTACGTTTCCGGAGCGGGTCACGCCCCACAACATGGAGAAGATGAAGAAGCTCGTCAAGAACGGGCCGACGACGTGGCCCGGGGCGCGATACGTCGTCCGGGACGACGGCAGTCGCGTCGATTTGCGCTTCGTGAGCGACCTCTCGCTAGTCGAGCTGCGGCTCGGGTGGAGGGTCGAGCGGCACATGTTAGACGGAGACTATGTCATCTTCAACCGGCAGCCGTCCTTGCACAAGATGTCCATGATGGGGCATCGCGCGAAGGTGATGCCTTTCTCCACTCTGCGCTTCAACCTTTCTGTCACTCCCCCGTACAACGCAGATTTCGATGGTGATGAGATGAACCTGCACTTGGCGCAATCCCACGAGACCCGTTCCGAGATCAAGCACCTCATGCTGAACCCACGGATGCTCACTTCGCCACAGGGGAACAAGCCAGTGATGGCGATGGTGCAGGACAGTCTTTTGGCTGTCGCCAAGTACACCAAGCGGGACACGTTCATGGAGAAGGACATCGCCATGAACATCTTGATGTGGGTGCCACACTGGGACGGCACCCTTCCGACTCCTGCGATCTTGAAGCCCAAGGAGATGTGGACGGGTAAGCAGCTGTTCTCGCTGCTGCTGCCCAACACCTTGTCGATGCAGCGCGAGTCTGCCATCGCGTCCAAGAACAAGAAGGACGAGAAAGACTTCGCGGCAAGCGACTGCAAGGCAGGGCTGGACCTAAACGCTGTTTTGCTGGACTTCGGTTGCGTTTGGTTTTTTGTATTGGGAGGGAGGTACAGAAAAACAGGTAGACCAAAACGAACAACAGAACGAGAACAAAACGAAACACAACGTTTAGGTCCAGCCCTATTGCAAGGTGGTCATCCAAAACGGTCAGCTGCTCTCTGGCATCGTCTGCAAGAAGACGGTCGGCTCGAGCTCCGGCTCCTTGCTGCACCTGCTGTGGCTGGACGGCGGCCCCGAGGTGTGCCGCGACTTCCTGTCGTTCATCCAGAAGATGGTCAACCAGTGGTTGACGCACAACGGCTTCTCCTGCGGCGTCGCCGACATCATTGCCAACGACGAGACCCTCCTGAGCGTGGAGAAGACGTTGAAGCAGGCAAAGGCCGAGGTGAGGAACATTCTGGCCGACGCTCAGCGTGGGAAGCTGGAGACTCAGCCCGGCAAGACAATGTACCAGTCCTTCGAGGCGAAAGTCAATCAGCGTCTGAACGCGGCCCGGGAGGACGCTGGCAATATCGGTTCCAGTTCTCTGGACGAGCGTAACAATATCATCTCGATGGTGAATGCAGGCAGCAAGGGTTCGCCCATTAATATCGCCCAGATTATTGCTTGCGTCGGTCAGCAGAACGTGGAGGGTTCTCGCATAAGGTACGGCTTCAACGACAGAACGCTGCCTCACTTTACCAAGGACGACTACGGCGCAGAATCCCGGGGCTTCGTTGAGAATTCGTACTTGGCAGGCCTCACGCCGCAAGAGGTGTGGATGCACGCCATGGGCGGTCGCGAAGGAGTCATTGACACCGCTTGTAAGACATCAGAAACAGGGTATATTCAGAGACGTTTGGTCAAGTCGATGGAGACGTTGAGGTGCCACTACGACGGGACCTCGCGAAATGGAGCCAACGACATCATCCAGTTCCTTTATGGGGAGGACGACGGGATCAAATAAAAGGATACACCACGTTTCATGTCGCTGAGGGGTGCGCAAAAACGATGAGGTATTTCCAGTCGTGCTCTGCCTAAAGGGTCCTCCCTGCCAATCGTATTCCGTGTAAGAGCGCTGGTGCTTTTCTTCAAACCCAGACCAGACTCCTTGCGGATGCGCGCCCCGGTTTCTTCGAGGCCGTCCGTCTTTGGAGGAGCCTCCTTGAAAGCAATGAAGCACAACGTATGGCTAGCAGCATGCCCCAAACAACGCATATGAAACGAAATGCAATGAAGTCCAAGTCAGCGCAACGCACTTTATTCCGATTCGGTGACCTGATATCCGAAGGAAAACAGAACTACATAGCAAAACCAAGCAATGTAAAACAAGACAGGGCAAACCAACGCAGAGCAAAGCGAAGTGAAGCAGATCACGCAATGCAATGTCATGCAATGTATCAGCACGCAGTGCAAATCACTGCAACGCCCAAGAGAGCAACTCGCATCACATTAGAACAGCTCGAAGCAAACCCGAGCGCCCGAAACAGTTCTTTGGGCGCGCTGGATGCGTGGGGCTTCTCCCCAGTTCCGAGGTGTCGCGGGATATGTCCCAAGCAAGCGTCGACGAAACGCATTCTCTCCAAGCTTCGGAGGCCTCCTTGTTGGAGAATTGTCAGAGAAAAAGGCGCGCGGACCTGAAACGCGCTCCTTCGCTACTTTCTGGAGAGCGTTTGCATCCCTTGGCGAGAACGGGCGTGACTTGGGCTGAGGAGGAGGAGGAGGAGGAGCAGGAGGAGGAGGAGGAGAACGAGGAGAAGGAGGAGAAGGAGGAAAAGGACGAGGAGGAGGACCAGTGTAAACCGAAGAGTCATCAATGATGCTGGTTCAGTTCCACTGAGGGGACTGCCTCGTAGGAAGCTGTTTGAAAATGACTGAAGCGTGCAAAATCATTATTCTCGGGACTGCAACGCCACGGACCAACCTGACTGTTACGTTTTGACGATCCCGAATCGTGCCAGAACGCCGTTCTTGGGACTGTAACGCCGCAAGTCAACGTAACTGTTGCACCTCGAGCCGCTCCGAAACCGAATTTCTGGTACGTTGACCATGGGAGCCCGTGACAATCTTGCAATGTTAAAAAACGGAATGTGCGCGGCGTTGAGGCGAGAACCACATTTTGAAAAGGAGCCGCCTTCAATCCGTGAGCATCTTGCAAACTTTGAGAACGAATGTGCGCGCGAGTGCTACATTTTGAAAACTACCCGCCCTCAATCCTTGAAGCTCTTGCTCTTTTAGGGGAAACGAATGTGCGTGGCGCTAAGGCGAGCACCACATTTTGAAAACGACCCGCCCTCAATCCGCCAAACGCTTGCCACTTTTTAGAACGAATGTGCGCAGCGCTATGGCGGGAACCACATTTTGAAAACGACCTGCCCTCAAACCGCGAAGCTTTTGTTTTTCCAACAAAAAACGAATGTGCGCGGCGGTAGGGCGAGAGCCACATGTTGAAAACGACCCGCACTCCATCTGTGAAGTTGCTGTCAGTTGTTAAGCTTCACGGTCATAAATGGTGAGGAGGTCTCAGGCGAAACGCCCGGCCTGCCCCTTCGACCGGCCTCGGGGTGCGACAGGGAGAAATTATTCATAAGGGAAAGGAATGGAGGAGGAGGAGGAGGAGGAGGAGGAGGAGGAGGAGGAGGAGGAAGAGGAGGGGGATGAGCAGGAGGAGGAGGAGGAGGAGGAGGAGGAGGAGCTCGAGGAGGAGGACGAGGAGGAGGGGACGGGTTCTGGTCGCGTCGCGATTCGCGCTGGAGCCGTCTGAGAATGCCCAATAATAGCTCATTCCCAAACGGCGCCGGCGCGAATCGTGACGTGACCAGGGGGGGAACGGTCTCGGGCGCTGTCGCGGATCACAAGGAACGGCCCCTGGAACGCGTCATGATGGTCGAACGTGCTGCGGTTTCCTTGCAGGGCCTGCCATGATGGGCCTGCTTTCCACCACCACCACCATAAGTTGGAGGGGGGACGGACGAGGAGGAGGAGGAGGAGGAGGAGGAGGAGGAGGAGGACCCCCTCCCCCTCCAGCTTATGGTGGTAGTGGTGGTGGAAGACATGCCCATCATGTCAGGTGCTCCTCGGGGGCCTCCTCCTTGGCGCTGCCTCAGGGGGCGTCCTGGGGGCGGGCCCCACTGCCGTTGGCTGCGGCCCCTTGCTCGCGGGCGAGCCCCCTCCTGCTTGGCATCGCTCGGACGTGTGCATTTTTCCTTCGGCGAGGGCCATCGAGGAGCATCCTTGATCATTTGGCGAAAAAGCCACGCACTAGACCCAAAAAAAACACAGGGAATGGACGTCCCAGCGATGGCGAACCTGGGCCCGCCCCATTGAGGGCCTCGAGGGGTGTCGGGGGCGAGCGTGGGGGCCTGCAGCCGAGTTCGACTGGAGAAGGCACTAGGGGAGAAAAGAGTGACACAGACATGACAACTCAGAGGTCCGCGCAGATCTCTCGGATCGGCGCTGGGGCCCCCCGGCGGCGCCTCCGGCGCCGCCCCTGGCGCGTTCCGCGCGCCAGGGAAGGGGGTCCAGCGCCGATCCGAGAAATCCGCGCGGACTTCCGAGTTTTTCTGTTTATGGAACTTTTCGTGCCCCTGGACACGGGAGAGGACACAAGACCCCTCCGAAGGCCACGCGCAGAAGGCACGGGCCGGGAAAAAACAGGACACCGAGGGCACCCTTGATTTAGCAGGGTCGACCCACCAATCAAACTCGGCTGTACTCGTGCCCTCTTGCGCGCAACATGGCCCGCGGGAGCTCCCGGTAGACCCTCTGGGAATCTTGGGCCAGGAGGGGCCGTGGTCTTGACGAGTCCTCCAGAGATGATCACAGGTCCACTCCAGTTGCCGCGAAGGTTCTGAGGACACTCCACCTACGCGTCGGAGGCACCGTGGCGAATGCTGAGCTTGCCCCCGCTTTGGATTGAATCATCCGCATTCCTCATTCGTGCGATTGGTTGCCTCCACATCCTCCCCCTCCCCCGGCCTCCTCCTCCCCCCCCCCCGTACGTTCTCCTTCTCCTCCTCCTCCTCCTCCTCATCATCATCATCATCATCACCGCCATCACCACTATCATCATCATCATCATCATCATCATCATCATCATCATCATCATCATCATCATCATCATCATCATCATCATTATCATCGCCGTCATCATCATCATCATCATCAACACAAGCAGTCTCATTAGCATTATCATTCGCATCACCATCACCATAACCAACATCACCATCGTCATAACCATCATCATAATCATACTCATCACCATCATCACCACCACCATCATCATCAGCAGAAGCACCAGCATCAGCAACACCATCACCCCCATCATCATCAGCAGCATTATCAGCATCAGCATCATCATCATCATCATCAGCAGCACGATTAATAGTTTTTTTCATCATCACCAGCATTATCACACTCAGTATTGTCAGTATCGCTGATACCAGGACTAATAGTAGTAACTACATGTGCATGCTACTCTTACACATGCCTCGCCTCGGTCCTGCTTCTTGGTACGCGTAGTCACATTATGTGCAGTGCTCGTAGTACTGTTAGTACGGTCATTACTCGTATTGGTATGTATCGCACGCTTATTCGTGTAGTCACCGCCACCAGCATCATCATCAGCAGTATCACCATCATCACCATCATCAGCATCGCCATCGTCGTCATCACCATCTCTATCAACATTATCGTCATCGTCATTATCAGTATATTTACCATCATCATTACCATCATCAGCATCATCATCATCATCATCATCATCATCATCATCATCATCATCATCATCATCATCATCAATAACAGCACCATCAGCATACTCAACATCAGCATCGTCATACTCATCACCATAGCCGTACTCATAATCATAATCACCAGTATCATCATCACCACAATCATCAACATCATCATCCCACCTCCTCCTTCCCCTCCTCCTTCTCCTCTTCCTCTTCCTCCTCCTCCTCCCCCTCCTTTGCGTCGTCGTCGTCATCGTCCACCTTGTCCTGTTCCTTCTCTCTCTTCTCCTCTCCTTCATCCCCTTCTCATCTCCACCCTCCTCTTCCTCCCCGCATCCTCCCGCTGCGAGGATGGCATGGACGGGGTGCTGATCGAGGACCAGACCCTCGAGATCATGACGTACGACAACCAGTCCATGGTGAAGACCTTGGGATACCTTCGATTCGTCGATCGTGGCCTGATCAGTCCGCTGGCTCATCCGATGCCCCGATCGGTCATGCGAGGGGTGGGCAGGAGGATCAGGGATGTAATCAAGGGTTTGATGATGATCAGAAGAAGGTGGAGGAGGAGGAGGAGGAGGAGGAGGAGGAGGAGGAGGAGGAGGAGGAGGGGGAGGGGGAGGGGGAGGGGGAGGGGGGGAGGAGGAGGAGGAGGAGGAGGAGGAGGAGGAGGAGGAGGAGGAGGAGGAGGAGGGAGGAGGAGGCGAGGGAGGAGGAGGGGAGGAGGAGGAGGAGGAGGAGGCGAGGGAGGAGGAGAGGAGGGAGGAGTAAGAGGAGGAGGAGGAGGAGGAGGAGGAGGAGGAGGCGAGGGAAGAGGAGGAGGAGGAGCAGCAGCAGGAGGAGCAGGAGGAAAAGGAGGAGGGGGGGAGGAAAAGGAGGAGGAAAGGGAGGAGGAGAAGGAGGAGGAGGAGGAGGGAAACCGACGATGAAGAGGACGGACGAGGAGAAGTCGGAGGAACTATTGGGAAATCCATGATGTTTGCTTGCTGGCCCCCGAGTCACTACAGACAGTCCTCTCGCCTATGCATACAGCCCTTCACTATTTTCCCTTGCAGGGTGCTGGAAGGGCATGGGTCATACGGAGGGACTGTCTCCGCAGCTGTGATAGTTACTCAAGCAAAAGCGCGCGCGATGGCCAGCCGGCCGGGCCTGCCATACGCACGCGCATGCGGATGCATCGTGCTCTTTAGGGTAATTCCGCTTCACGAACTTACGTGGCCATGTACTCACCAGTTCACTGTGGGAGTCTAGCTTCTCGTGAGCTACCAGAAGAAGAATATCAAGAAACATAACCACCAATCAATGCCAATACGCGTTTGCCTAGCACGATGATGGATAGGCAACACATGGATTATCATCCGAAAGTTTTTCCACGAGGCCAGGAGGCACTCCCTTCAGGAACTGATGGTGGAGATGCTGTTGTTGGTACACCAGAAATTCCTCATGGCTTTGAATAAGCGGCGGTAGTCGTTTTCCACGACCCTGACGATGTCAGGGATCCGACTGCTCGCCCCTCGCACAATTCGTGTACGAACGTTCCTGCCCCCATGTCTAGCGGCGACAGCTTTCCCTTTCGGCCAGATGCGCCTAGGGTGGGCAATGATCCTAACATAGGCACAGGGGTACCGCCCATCGAGGTGTCTTCGGATATCTTCGGATGACGAGGTATCTGACCCTTCCCCCTCAATGCTCGGTGCTACTGTCGAAACGCACGAAGATGAAAGTTATCGTCAAACCGATAGTTGAGTCGAGCTACTTCGTCAGGAACATGAAACCCTGTCCAGTTCAGAACTCGGCGCCATTGAAGACACCTGCGAAGATCCATTCTCTGGTGACGTTCCACGGGCACCGACGGTGAAACGACCCCGAGATGACATGCTTTGGTTCAAATCACCGATGGCCAGAAGCTCGAAAACGGTGCGCCCGCTGGAAGAGTTGGGCAATGCCAGTCCAGGGGCTGCTGGAGAGCGAGACGCAATTCGCATAGCGCCTCCGTCGCCTTAGAGAATCGGGGCGGGTCGATCGGGGCAGCCGATGGCAAGTCCTACCCGGGCCTCCATCTTGAGAGCCCGCTCGCCTAGGGTCCGATCTGGGGCGTCCGCGAGGCGGCGGGGGCCGCGAGCGACGTCGGGGGCGCCATCGCGATCGGCATGCGCCGGTCGCTCGAAAGAATCGAGCTATCGCATATCAGAAGACTGTTTTCACAAGGGGGTCGACTGTGCCAACGCCCCCGAGTTCGGATGTCCCGGAATGCTTGGCGCATGCAAGAAGCATATTTGCTTGGCGTGCTCAGTGAACTGCCCCGAGTGCAACGTGAGCTTTCTATGACCTGGCTGCCTCGTCCCCGGCGCGCGCATTCGCGCGGCCCTCCGCCGCCGGGAATGGAGGGGGATTCAGGGGGGGTAACGCGCCATCTTGATGGAATACCGAGATGGAGAAATTGCGCGCGCGCGCAGGAAGAGGCCAGGTCAAGGCTGCGGGGCTTCAGCAGAGGGCGGCGGCAAGGCTACGATCGAGGAAGACTGGCAGGCTGCCGCTCGCGCCATGGCACGCGCCGAGGAACGCTTGCGTCTTGCAATGGCGAATGGAACCTAAAGGGCCCGCGCTGCTATGAAAGACGCGACGCGACGACTCGAGGCAAGTGAGGCGGCGGAGAGGCGAGCGCGAGCTGCTGCTGAGACTGTTGCTGAAAGGCTGGTTCTGCTGTCCGGGGGGCCAATCAAAGTCAATTGGCGGCGGTGGATCATCTGACCGCTGAACTCAAGGCTGCAGCGGCGCGAAGTGCAGAACTGACGTCTGCAACCAACGTCGAGATTCTGGTAGCAGCCGCCGGAAAGAGGGCCGCCGTCGGTCGAAGCGGCTAAGCGCACTGCGGACGAGAGTGCATTTTCGCTGCGTGGAGCCTGAGGCGAAGTCGATGGCTCTCGGCAGCGGGGGCGCGCCGTCGCCTCGGAGTCGAAGGCTTCGTCTGCGCGCGCGATCGCCGAGGCCAGGGGGGGCTCGCCAAGAACTCGGAGGTGGAACAGGAAGCCATCGCCAAACTGGGCGCTGTGCCCCGAACGCGGAAGTGGCTGCGACGCAGACGCTCAAACAATGGGAAGCTCGCCGCGAGGCGCAGCATCGCGAACTGCTGGGGCAGCACATCCCAAGCTAACTGATAGAGAGAATTCTCGGAGAAAAGTTCAGCTGCGCCCGTTCGTGCGTCGGGTGTGGCTTCGGGCCCCGCGAAGTAGCGCGCCCGCCTGCTCGCTTGGCAGTAGGCACTGGATTCTTGCGGTGCCTTCTCTGTTCGAAGAATGCAGCGCGCGACTGTCGGCGCCGCGCGAGTGCCCTTTTGCGGGGGTCATGTGGGCCAGGCAGAGAAGCGCTGCGCGTCTTGTCTCGCTGCGCCCGTTCGAAGGGGGCGGGGGGCGGGGGGCGGGGGGGGGGAAGGAGAGGGGAGTGATGAGAGGAGAATGGGCGCAAGGTTAGGGCGGAAATGAAAGAGCGCGTGGCCGCTCAGATTTTATCCGGCGCAGGGTTATTCGACTGTCGACTAATCGCGAGGAAGCCGCGCGACGACGCCGCGGCCTCATTGGGGCCAGGGATGGAGAGCGAGGTCGTTCGACGTTCGAGGGCGTCTGAGGATGGCGCTGGGGCCGAGCGCGAGAAGTTGACCTCCATGCTGCGCGGGGCAGAAAAGAACGGGGCGCCGCGCTGCGGCCGGCGGGCGGCGGGGGGAACAGCGCGCGGAGGAATCGGGCATAGGCTTGGCGGGGCGTCTGGAATCGGGGCGCGGAACAAGAGGAGAAAGCCGGGGAAGACGACGAGCGCTGGAACAATGACTATAAAGACGGGGTCGCCGCGGGGGCGGAGCCCGCCACGAGGTCGCCAGGTTTCGCCCCCCTTAATTCCCGGAAGCCCGGAGGTGGAGGCGACGGCGGCGGCGGCGCGCTTGAAGGGGGGGGGGGGTCCGACGATTGCGCCCCGAGGGGCGTTGCCCCGCGATGGAAAAGAAAGGCTCAGGCCCGCCCGGCGACGACGGTGGCGGATCCGATGATGATTCAGATTTTGAACCAGATGAATCTGAGGGCGAGGGCGATGATCCTTCGAGCGACGAGGAGAGCGATAACGGAGAAAAGCGCCGCTGGCGTTACGACCCTCGGGGGGGCGATCCCCCGCCAGGAGATGGGGAGCTGGCGAATCTCCCGAACGGTGTTCTGGGCGGGAGGCGCGAGGACAGATGCGGGAATGAAAGACGTGATCGTCCTTGATCCGATTCCCGATGCCAGTGGGTGCACGAAGTGGATAAGAAATGCTGCTCGGCTTGCCTAGCTGCGCGCAGTGGGACAGAGCTACCCCCTGGATCAACGCTGCCTACCAGCTCAAAGAGGCCCCCATAAGGGACCTCGACAACCCCGGCGAATTTGGGAGACTTGACCCGGCGATTTCACGAGGCGCGAAGGCGTCGCCTCCTATGGATTCCGCGAGTTTGAAGAAGTCGAGGATGCTTTCGGGCCGCGCTATCTTGCGGACCATTGCCGCGCACCTAACTGCCCGACAGGATCGCGGCCAGGTGCGCTCGCGCCAGGGCCCGATGGGCCCGAGGTTCGGGCAAGCAGGCAGACGACGATTTATGTCATGTCTACAATGGATGAAAGTCATGAACGAGATCGAAACGCTTCGCAAATCGCTCCGGCCCGCCATCCAGGAACACGTCTATGAGCAGATGAACAGATGCCCTAGTATGGCGATGACCCTTGCCATGTATGAACATAGCAACGATGAGCGCGGCAAAGGCGTCAAGTCGCGCGAGTGGCTGCCTGCTCAGGTCAGCAGAAACGCGCAGACGGGCAGGGGGGGCGCAACCGAGAAGTTCAGCGGAAGCAGCTGAACGATCGCGGCCTCTTAGCGGGAGGCGCGGGGGGGGGGGGCGACGAGAGGCGGTCGCTCTACGTGCCAGATGGGAAGACCCTGGAGAAATATGTCGAATGCAAACGCTTCGCTCAGGGAAAGTGCATATTGCATATATTCGAGGGCCGAGCATCAGCGCAATCACCTCAAGGGGGCCGCTCCTGCAGCCCCGCGTGACAAGACGCTGCCCCAGGCGGCGAAGGCGGCGAGGAAGGTGCCGATTACCAGAAGGAGGGCGACCCCAAGAGAGGCGGTGCTAAAGGAGAGAAGAACCGCGGCAGAAGTCAAGATCGCGGCAAGAGCTACGGTCGCCCACGGTCTCAGAGTAAAGGATCGAGCACGACGTCCTCGAATGGCGGGTTGCCTGCGCCTTCAGCCGGGGGGGCTGCTCGTTGCCTCGGGGCGAATGCCCCCGCGAGCATCGCGAAGCGACGCCTGGGGAGATGCTCGCGCGCGACAAGTGGAAGGGCCAAAATGGGCTAGGAAAAGGAGGAGCTCCCGCGCGAGAGAGATGCCGGCTACGCCG